CTCCACTGTGATATGGCCTTGACTAAACAAATTCAGAGTTGGTGAAATCAAGGGGCCTCCATAGCCTAGACAGCTCATAGCAAGAGTCTCGGGTGATTGCTGACGTCATAAATAAGAGTGCCAATTGTTAAATCAACAACGGGAGTCACTGGGTTCATGCTCCCTTCGCAGGATCTCTGTCCTTAATATGTTTATGTATGAAACTCAAAAACAACACTACTAGTCGAACAATACCCTATACCTGGTTCGGTTGTGTGAGTGCAACCTGTTGAAATCCCTGCTTAGTATATACTAAATTGATCTTCAGTATATGAAGGTAACTGAAAATGAAACGTGATGAAGGGGGGAGAGGGGAGAGGAAGTGGGTGAGGGGAGGGCCACGGGAGGGAGGGAGGTCGGGGGGAAGTCACAACAATGCAAAAGATGCGTTTTATATTCTACTTAAAACTATTGGTTGAGCTCTGTAATTAATACACAATTACTCTTAGGTGTTTAATTAATGCTATAACTAGTACTCAAATAGTATTTTACACTTTATGTTTCTGTGTGGGAGCAAAATGTGGTAATCTTTACTTAACATACGCTAAATTGATCTTCTGTATATAAAGATAATTGAAAATTAATTGTGATGTGAAGGGGAAGGGAAGAGGGAGTGGGAGAGGGGAGCGTTGTGGATGGGAGGGAAGACACGGGGTGGGGGGAGGAGGCTATTGTGGTCCATAAGCTGTACTTTGGAAATTTATGCTTATTAAATAAATTAAAAAAAAAGTCTATTGAGGTCCTTGGCCCATCTCTTAAGTGGGTTGTTGGTTTTGTTTTTGTGGAGTTTCTTGATCTCTTTGTAGATTCTGGTTATTAACCCTTTATCTGTTGCATAGTTTGCAAATATTTTTTCCCATTCTGTCGGTTGTCTCTTCACTCTCCTGACTGTTTCTTTTGCAGTACAGAAACTTCTCAATTTGATGCAATCCCAATAGTTAATTTTGGCTTTGACTGCCTGTGCCTCCCGGGTCTTTTCCAGAAACTCTTTGCCTGTGCCAATATCTTGAAGGGTTTCTCTAATGTTCTCTAATAACTTGATGGTGTCAGGTCGTAGATTTAGGTCTTTAATCCATGTTGAGTGGATTTTTGTGTAAGGTGTAAGGTAGGGGTCTTGCTTCATGCTTCTGCACGTGGAAATCCAATTTTCCCAGCACCATTTATTGAATAGACTGTCCTTGCTCCAGGAATTAGGTTAGCTCCTTGATCAAATATAAGTTGGCTGTAGATGTTTGGGTTGATTTCTGGTGTTTCAATTCTGTTCCATTGGTCTATCCATCTGTTTTTGTACCAGTACCAGGCTGTTTTGATTACAACTGCCCTGTAGTATGTCCTGAAATCTGGTATTGTGATGCCTCCGGCTTTGTTTTTGTTGTACAAGATTGCTTTAGCTATTCGAGGTCTCTTGTGCCTCCATATAAATTTCAGCACCAATTTTTCCAGATCTGAGAAGAAGGTCTTCGGTATCTTGATTGGTATTGCATTGAATTTATAAATTGCTTTTGGGAGAATGGACATTTTGACGATATTGATTCTTCCAATCCATGAGCATGGAAGATTTTTCCATTTCTTGGTATCCTCTTCTATTTCTTTCTTTAAGGTTTTGTAATTTTCATCGTAGAGTTCTTTAACGTCCTTGGTTAAGTTTATTCCAAGGTATTTGATTGTTTTTGTGGCTATTGTGAATGGGATTGATCTTAGAAGTTCTTCCTCAGCCATGGCATTGTCTGTGTATACAAAGGCTGTTGATTTTTGTGCATTGATTTTATACCCTGCTACTTTGCCAAACTCTTCTATGAGTTCCAATAGTCTCTTAGTAGAGTTCTTTGGGTCCCCTAAATACAAAATCATGTCATCTGCAAAGAGGGATAGTTTGAGTTCTTCCTTCCCAATTTGTATCCCTTTAATTTCTTTTTCTTGCCTAATAGCTCTGGCTAGAACCTCCAGAACTATATTGAATAGCAGTGGTGAGAGTGGGCATCCCTGTCTGGTCCCAGATCTCAGTGGAAATGCTTCCAACTTTTCCCCATTCAATAGGATGTTGGCTGTGGGTTTTTCATAGATTGCTTTGATTGTATTGAGGAATGTTCCTTCCAAACCCAGTTTGCTTAGAGTTTTCATCATGAACGGGTGTTGTATTTTATCAAATGCTTTCTCGGCATCTATTGAGATAATCATATGGTTTTTCTTCTGCAGTCTGTTAATGTGGTGTATCACATTGATTGTTTTGCGCACATTAAACCATCCCTGCATACCAGGGATAAATCCCACTTGGTCTGGGTGGATGATCTTTCTGATGTGTTGTTGCAAGAACCCCAGAACTTCTTACTCCTACATAGCTATAACCTAGTCCCTATCAATCAGCCTTTCCCAGTTCATCCATTCTCAATTTCCTCCTCATTCTCTTGTAAAAAGAATATATATATATACACACATATATACATATATATGTATATAAATACACACACAAACATACACACATACATTTACACAAAGATTTATTTATTTATTTAAAAGGCAGTGAGAGACAGAGAGAGAGATTGAAAGAAAGAGAAAGATCTTCCATCTGCTAATTCACTCCCCCAAATGAATGCAACAGCCAAGGCTGAGCCAGGCCAAAGCCGGTAGCCAACAACTCTGTCTGGGTCTTCCACCTGGGTGGTAAGGAACCAAGTAAATTTGCCCATGAGGTTATCTCTTTGATTTTTTTTTTCAGATGATGCACTACTTGTACATTGATTTTGTATCCTGCAACTTTGCTGAATTCCTAGATGCTTGGTTTCTGGCACCTTATTTTACTCTTTAAGTGAGATGATTGTTCCCTGCAAGTTGCTCATGCTTGCTGGAGTACAAAATTATCTGTGCATTGAAGAATTAGTTTCAGTATTATGGCTTCATTTTTAGCAGCCCTAGAAAGTCGAAGCATCTGTTCTTCTGTTGTGAAGGCCTATGGTCTATTTCCTGTGAAGGTGTGTTCACTGCACAATGCTGCATGTGTAAGCCAGTGGTGATGCTGCTAGAGGTATAATATTAGTGAACCATGACCTCAGTGCTCTGAAGCAAGTCTAGAGATCCTGTCCACAGGTCTTAGAGACAATGACCATTAGGATTTACTCAGTACTGAATTTTGCCAGCTTGGAACTGAGCTTCAAAATATTCCTGCCATTCATTGCTGTCTGTCCAAGGTTGCAGGTGAGGAGAAAGAGGCAGCTTCTCAGTTACTCTTAAAGGACCTGTGTAGGACACCACTGGATCTTCCAGTCAGCAGCCCTTGTGCAATCGTGGGAATACACAACAGGCTCTTACTCATAAATGTATGTTTATTATATTTATTATTATGTATTATTACCAGGCCTGTGCAAGTCATTAGCAGAAACTGGCCTCAAAAAACTGGGTGTGTGAAAGTGTTTTTATTTTTCCTGTGGCACCTATCTACCTGGAAAAGACATTGTCCTATAGCACTGAAATTGAGAAATACCCAGAATGAATTAAATGAAGTAACATTATTGTGTTTGCACATTGCAGAAACGTTTAAAACAATAAAGTAATTCTGAAATTTTCTTTTGTGTTAAAAAACTAATATCCAGAATTTTTTGTCTCTCTTCCAGCTTAAGAAAGTTGATTGACAGTCCTCAATAGTAAGGAACTGAGAAGTACCAAGTCAGGAGCCTTTCACAGGTGAGAGTTTCACAGCCTGCCATCAGGTTATACTCACCAGGGCTCAGAGAAAAAGAGAGATATTCTAACAGGTTTACTGGCCCCTATTGAGATCAAAGGCAGTGAGCAAGTTGGCCAGCCTTTCTTCTCTGTCTTTTCCCACTCCTCCTGCCCTTCATATGATTCATCTGAACTCATAATCAGGGTTCTTGGGGCCTGAGTGAACTTTGTTAGAGCTCTGAAGAGGAGGAAAAATCTTCCACTTAAAAAGAAAATAGTTATTCTCAAAAGGACATTCAATATTCATATTCCATTAACAATCTTGCCCAACTCCTATATATTCTATGATCCAGTAATGTATCTACTTGACATTTATAAAAGACAACTATGCTGTATCATGCCCTTTCTTCTGGGAAGCATTTATAAAATTACAAGGATGCCTTCCCCGCATCGTGTTTAAGAGAGTGCTAGCAAATGCAGCTAGAAATAAATTATCATATTATCTACTCATTCAATTATTGAGTACCATTGTCAGTTTCAGTTTTCTATCTCAACTCTCTGTACTATAGTATTCACATCATTTGGCCAAGAATGGGGTCCTGATATTGCTCCTTATTATTATGCTCCAAAGTATTCTTTTCTCTGGATTTTCTTCTCTGAATTGATTTTTTTAATTTAGCCCTGCAAAAAGTAAATATATCTGTTTTCCATACTTTGTGGACAGATGATATATGAGTTATTTAGTTCTCATTTGTATGCCTAAGAAAATACACTACCATATTCTACTTGCTATACATTGGAAATGTATCTGATTTATCTTTATGCTTTTTACACTAAGCAGGAAAGCTTAAAGGCAAGTCTTTTATTCTATAAATTGCTTCTCTTTTATTGGAAAATTCTTTTTATTAATACTATTCTAAAACTTTCATCTCTTGAAGACTAGCTCAACTGCTGACCATACTGAGCAATTATATAAAATGGTTACTGTGGTGGCTAGTGGCTTAATGAAAAGGAATCAGTAAGTCATATGTGAGACCAGAAAATTGGGTCAGAAAGAAAATAACATTTCCTTTATGTAAGCTCTGGCAGTTTTAGTTTGGGTCTTGACAAAAACCTGTGCTTTTTGCTAAAATAGTCATCAATTATAAAGACTAGAAGGATACATCCATGCCTTTTTCAAAAAAAAAAATATATAATAAAATAAAATAAAAAAACCTACTCACAGAATCCCAAGAAAAAAAGAAGGCTCACTAATTTACTATGTATATTTTGTGCCCCCAATCCAAATATGCATTGAAACCTACCTTGTTAATTCCCACGTTTAAAATATCGTTATGTATCTTGGTTCAGTTGGCTAGTTCATTTCACTTAGTGCTAATGAGTCAAGAGTTATGAGATGAAACCCTTATAATGCAGTTAAGTTTCTTGCCTCTGTGGTTGCAAACAGCCTATATTGAATAAGAATATAAATAAAGCAACGTTAGTGGACAAACTGCCCAATGTAGGTGTTTTCTTGACAGAAGGTTAATAACTTCATTTATATGTATGAAGGAAATCATTGAAAATAAGTTGAAATTGTTCTATGCATGGCTCTTTCTGAAATTCTTAAGCAAGATGCTCCCTTTTATCATCTTAGAGCTAGAATTCATATCAACAGGTCTTTTTATTTGCCTCCCTGACTTCCAAAAGGTGAATTTGAATTCCATTTAATGCTTAGCTCATATTTAATTTTGAAATAGAGATCAGCTGGTAGAAATTTTCCTAGTAATTTCCTCTACTATTCTTGAAGACAAAAAAGCCACTCTTATTTTCTTTCACACTAAACAATAACAACTTACACAATTTCCAACTATATTTTCATCAGGAAATTTGGTTCAACTTCCTTATTTTTCTTCTGAATGTCTAGAAAGTCATTAAAAGTCCTTACAATATTTCTACCTAGCTGCAGTTTACAACGACCTAAAAGCAGGAGCATGAAATCAAGTTTAGAGAAAATGGCTGTATTCAATCTGCTGTTGGGGCAGCTTTTATCATTTACTTGCAAATAATTGTACTCCAGGGCATTCATCCACATACATTGTATATCTCATCATATGTTTTTGAGGATTAAGATTACTGTTAATAGCTTCAGTATTTCTTAATGGAAATAGAACTGCTTTATAATGCAATTGTAATTTATTTACTATAAAGATATTTTCAGCAGGAATAATCATTCCAACACAATGGGGATAATTTACTAAACTGGAAACAGTAGAGAGTCATGACATATTCCCCTTTGAGAATTGACACAGAACATGATACATCTGTATTCAATGTACAGTCTCCTGTGGCAGAAAATATATCACTTGGAATTTTATTTATTAAGTATTGTAGGTGAGTAATATTTAAAGAATAATCACACCAACAGAAAGAATTCCTAATATGGTAGCAAAATTTATAGTACTCCTGAATGTTACAACTATATTTGAAAGTGCCAGCATTGTGGTACAGTGGTTTAAGCAGATGCTGCCTGCCATTTGGGCATCCCATATGAACACCAGCTTGAGTTCTGCCTGTTCCACTTCTGATGCAGCTCGTTCTAATGCACGTAGAAAAGCAACTGAAGATTGTCCAAGTGCCTGGGCCCTTGCACGCATGTGGGAGACCTAGAACTTTCAGGTTCCTGGGTCCAGCTTGGCCTTTCCGCAGCCCTTGTGTCCATTTTGGGATTAAATCAGCTGATAGAAGATTCTCTCTCTCTCTCTCTCTCTCTCTCATTCTCACTTTCTTTCTCTCCCCCTCTCTCTTTGTAACTCTGCCTTTCAAATAGATCAATCAATAAAACACAAGAACATTGAAAAGTAATTTAGAAAAGTTGAAAATAAAAAAAACTAAAAGAAACAATATTAACAGGACAGCACATCAATAAATTAAGCTTGAACCATCGAAGTGCAGGAGACAAAGGCAAATCTCACTTAAAACATGAAATCATTGTACATGGAAAATGGCAAATTGGCTAACACCATCTATTATAGTTTCAATGTCACCTGAAAAGCATGCTTTTGAAACTTGATCCCCAATACCACAGTGTTGGGAAAATACCTAATGATAGGTAATTTATGTCATGAGGTTTCTAACATCATGAGTAGATAATCAGATCATAAAAAGTGCTTGAGGATGAAAGCTTGATTTCTCACTGCATTCTATTGAAACCCATTGCTACAAATCAGTTTTCTTGTACTAGTAGTTAATACAAATGGAATAATATTTCTTTGTACCTATTTCTTTCTCACACCATAATGTTTTTGAGATTAATCTAGGTTATTAAATGTACCACCATTCACTGATTTATTTTACTGAGTGATATTGCAGTACAGGTAAACCACAATTTGTGTTAACATTCACTTCTTGTTTGTTTTTCTGTGAATCCTAAAATAGTAGCTTCGGTCTTTAAGACTTTTATTATATTAGTTCTTGAGTCTGTTTTCTGTTAATTCAATTAATCTCTGGCTGCCATTTTTTTCATATGCTAGTGATTTTTATTGGATATTGTACATTATAAATTTACATTATTGAGTGATGGATGTTGTTGTCTGTCTTTAAATGGTGGTAGATAGCTTTCTTGGCAATCAAGTTAACTATGGGTCCCTTTGATTAGTCTTTCATTGTATGTTAGGGTTGTGTTTTAAAGTAAAGAAGTAACATTAGTGTGTTTTACTCAAAAATGATGGAAGAGATCAGATCTAACTAAAATGCAAATATTGGCATTGCAATTTTCTATGTAAAATCTTTCAAATCCTTCTAATTAGGTGAAGAATAAAGTGTAATCCCCTTTGCGCTGTGAAAAACCCTCCATCATCAGGTTTTTGTCTTCCAATTTTGTTTCTTCTCCAACCATTTGTTGCCTATCCTCTAACATTCTACAAATATGGATTTGCTTGTAATTCTTTGGATACAATATGCTTATTTATATACACCTATATTTCATAGCTTCTCTGTGCTCTCTTCTTTGTTGATAAGAATATATTACCCTATCTCTATCCATAGAAGCTAAATTGTCCATGAATATGCATACAAGAATCATTGAACAAATATTTCATTTGATTTATAGAAACAATCTAATACTATAAATAGATGGAAACTCACACAGTTAAAGTAATATGCTTAGATGTGGCTTCCTTACAAAAGTGTGGTTGTTCTAGAACTCAAATTCAAGTTCTCTGCAGAAGCCCATTCTTCTTTTCACTCTATCAAATGTTTTTTCTTCTAATTTTTTTTACAGGCACAGTGGACAGTGAGAGAGAGAGACAGAGAGAAAGGTTTTCCTTTTGCCGTAGGTTCACCCGCCAATGGCCACTGCAGTTGGTGCACCGCGCTGATCCAAAGCCAGGAGCCAGGTGCTTCTCTTGGTCTCCCATGCGGGTGCAGGGCCCAAGGACTTGGGCCATCCTCCACTGACTTCCCGGGCCACAGCAGAGAGCTGGACTGGAAGAGGAGCAACTGGGACAGAATCCGGTGCCCCGACCAGGACTAGAACCCTGGGTGCCGGCACCACAGGCAGAGGATTGGCCTATTGAGCTGCGGCGTTTTCTTCTAATTTTTAAATATAAATGAGTAAAATACTCAGTCATATAATTCTGCTCTAAAAATTTATCAGGTTCACTAACTGAGGAACTAGAGCTCTAACTTCTGAAAAGGTTCCGCACTTATAGCTTCAGTTTTCTGCACACTTAAAAGCACTCTTTGTGGAGGGGAGGAGGTATCTGTGCTGTGGAGTAGTGGGTAAAGCCCCTGCCTGTAGTGTCAACATCCCATATAGCTGCTGATTTGAATTCAGATTGCTCGACTTCTGATTTGGCTCCCTGCTAATGCACCTGGGAAAGCAGCAAAAAGCCCAAGCGCTTGGGCCCCTGCAATCATATGGTAGACCTTGAAGAAGCTTCTGGTTCCTGGCTTCAGATCAGCTCAGCTCCAGCCATTGTGGCCTTTGGGAGTGAACCAAGCAGATGGAAGCGCTCTCTCTCTCTCTCTCTCTCTCTCTCAACTCTGCCTTTCAAGTAAATAAATACATCTTAAAAAAAGAAAAAAAAAGCATTATGGGGCCTATGTTGTGGTGCAGCAAGTAAAGCCACTGCTTACAATGCTGTTTTCTGCCCTCTCTGCTCCACTTCCCAATCCAGCTTTACTCCGCCTGGGAAGACAGAGGAGGGTGGCTCAAGTGTTTAGAGCACTGGCACCCATGTGGCTTTGACTTGGCCCAGACCTGCTGTTGCAGCCATCTGGGGACTGAACCAGCAAACTGAAGATCTGTCTCTCTGTATTTCCCTCTATGTCTATCAGTCTGCCTTTCAAATAAATAATTAAATCTTTAAAAATACTGATTGTTTTTCAGGTCACCATGATTTTTGAGATCCAATTGAGTTCTAGTGCTTAATTTGCATGCTAATTTAACCTTTTCAAGATCTGGTACTTAGAGGTTCTAAAATATGGCAAAAATCACAAGAAATTCATACTATGAGCTAATAATCTAAGAGCAAAGGTTCTGTTAGAACATAGAGATTGTATTTAGAAATTTTCCTCAAAAGGTGTAAAACTGGTTTTTATATCATTTTCAATACACTGAGTAATATCTAAACAGATAATTATAGCTTATTCATTTCATTTAAATTTAGTTTCAAAAGTTTGGGTGTCATTTTGGAAGTAGAAAATTATGACATTTTGTACTTGAAAGGGATTTCATAGTTTACAAAGTATTTTCATATGAATTATGTTATTTAATCTTCATGGCAATCCTTTGGAGGGACATTACTGTCATTCAACACTTTATATCTATTGAAACAAAATCACAGTTGCAATTTACTCAGTGCCATTCAGCATATGGACATTTTAGGGTACATTTCAGTACTTGAAATCCATCCAATTTTCCACATTTTTATATTAAGAGGAGTTATTTTCAATTACTAATACTCTGATACAATAGGACTTGAGATATGCAGCCAATGAAAATATGAGAGAGCTATTAATAATTCTGTTTTCTGGTTTTCACACTTCTTTCATTCTTCAAATAAGTTTGGGATTATAATAAGATAAAATAACAGAGGCTTCTTTGAATACAGGAGAAGCTAAATATGTCTCCTCTGAAAACATATTTCCTCTGAAAATCATATTAATCAATCCTCCGTAGGAACACAGTGTAAAACTTTAAAACCATAATCAAGATCACTCATTTAATTTTTGTTGAGAACTGATGACCCAGGAACGTCACCACTCAATACTTTAGTTTAGAGATTTTGCTGTCTCATACTCCACAGGTATTTCCTACAAATAAAAGAAATGAAAATGATCATTTCTTTTCCTGTTCTATAAATGTTTTTGATATTTAGACTATTTATACAGTCTACCCCCCATAGGCAATTAGAAACTGTTGGAACCCATACATATACATAGTTATAATGTACCTTGAAAAAAATATAAGTGGTAATGTACCTTGAAAAAAATCAAACTTCTCACAAACAGTATCTACCTGAACATTTGGAAGATCACCCTCTGGAAGAGGAGGTGAGACACACATGAGCTTACATCATTAGGATGATGCTAAAAAGCTGGTCAGAGGAGAAGAGAAAGTAAGTGACTTTAAAACAGGGAAAAACTTGTGGTCAGTGCCTGCATTCTTACTCAATTTTGCAATATAAATTATAAAATATAAATAAACCTACCAATATACCATGGATCTGGCATATCCAGGAAGAATATCCCCAGACCTCAACCTTGTCACTACCAAAACGCTGAAATTTCTTTCCTGTTCCTAACATCTGACTTTTTAGGCCACTACTCTGTATCCCCAGTTCCTGATCTTCCATTGATCTGCAACTGATTTTCAGCCTCATGTTTTTTCTTAACAGAAAGAAAAAACAGATAGCTGTGATCGTCAGCTATCACTTAGTGATACTCCTTTGTGTTTGCCATTGGAGCTGCTTAATGTTCATATGTGTGCAGGTTTGTGCCTCACTCAGATGGATAACTGAAATAATTCAGATGTATCCTTTAAGTAATAGTAGCAATTAGACTCTGTACACTAAAAGAAAGATTGAGTTTCATCCTATCATTGTTTCATACCTTCCTGGTATTTTGCAATGACAGAAAAGAATGGAAAGAGGAAAGGGAAGGAAGGAAGGAAGGAAGGAAGGAAGGAAGGAAGGAAGGAAGGAAGGAAGGAAGGAAGGAAGGAAGGAAGGAAGGAAGGAAGGAAGAAGGGAGGGAGGAACGGAGGAAGGAAGGAAAGGAGGGAGGGAGGAAGGAGGAAGGAAGGGAGGGAGGAAGGAAGGAAGGAAGGAGGGAGGGAAGGAGGGAATAAGAAAGGAAGAAAGAAGAAAACAGGGAAAAGATGTTCTAATTAGATGGATATCATGACAAATATCAGGATTTTGGTTTTGAGACAATTCATATGAATATTGCATTATTTATTACACATTTATGATTCATTTTCACTGCTGCATTTAAGCCAGAGAAGTATCAATACTAATACAAATATTCCTTCTAACTATCCCTACATTCCAAAAGGAAAAGAAGAAAATGCAAGTATTTGCTTCTCTCCTTTGACTTACTTATATGATTTTAAAGAAAAAATCTAAATAAATAAATGTTCTACTTCAAGGATATGATTGAAATAACAAGGAGATTACAAAGATATATTGAGCTGATACTCATTCCTTAATCAATGGATTGGAATAATGTAGAATAAAACCAAAATTTCTGCATTCCTTTATAAATGATAGTTTTGCCTTGCTCTGTTTATGTTTAAAAAAAAAAAGACCTATATTATTGTTAGACTCTTCCATTGACTGAATTTTGGCAACCACTTTAACCTAGTCACATGATTCAAATAAAAGTAAAATTTAACAATTACTTAGCAAAATTGACAATTGACCCAAGTGGATATGTTTATAAAATCTGTTGTGATGGACAGCCTCCAAACCTCTGAAATCAGCAGGGTAAAGTCATGACAGCAGATAGAAAACTAAATTTTTAATCATGTGGGCTGCAGATCAAATCCATTCTCACTGTTGTGTACATAAAATAGAGTGGCATTAACCAACTTTGAAAAATCAGTATTCTCATCTGTATAAGGCAAATAAAACTAATTAAAATGTATAGCTATCAAGAATATTAAAAATTCCATGTCTAAAATAATTCAGTTAACATTTTACAATATTGTTATACATTATTATGCTATTATAACAGTAGTTATCCCTATGTGGAATTTTTGCTAATTATGTAAAATCTTAATTGAAAATACTGATGTTAATATGTTGCTTAATGTTTTTAGTTCCCATAGAATATTTTATCTAATGAATTGTAAGATAAAGAAAATTTAGTAAATAAATCATTAGAAGTCAATTGTAACCATGTATTTCAAACATACATATACTCAAATTTTTGAATATCTACTTAAGAATCTGATCATAGTGGTTATTACATGAGAGAAAATTAAAAAGGCATATTCATGGGGCTGGCATTGTGGTGCAGTGGGTAAAGCCACTGCCTCTGGTGCCGGGTTCCCATATGGGCACCAGTTCAAGTATCCACTACTCCACTTCCAATCCTGTTCTCTCCTATGGCCTGGGAAAGCAGTAGAAGATGGCCCAAGTCCTTGGGCCCCTGCACCTGCCTGAGAGACCTGGAAGAAGCTCCTGGCTCCTGGCTTCAGACTGGCTCAGCTTCAGCCATTGTGGCCAACTAGGGAGTGAACCATTGGATGGAAGACACCTATCTCTCTCTCTCTCTCTCTCTCTGCCTCTCCTCACTGTGTAACTCTGACTTTCAAATAAATAAATATTTTAAAAAAGGTATATTCATAATAGAAGCTTTTACTTTTTCTTTTATATAATTTCATAGCTATTTGAATTTTTCCCTTTTAACACTGTATGTGTGTGTTCTTGAGTGTGGGGTGTGTTTATCCTAACAAGTGTTAACCATAATAATTTCTGAATGACTGGCCTTATCAATGTTTATGATTTTTTCCTGAATTTTCTGAAATTCTGATAATTAGGGTAGAAATTGGAGAATTAGGCACATCTGGATCTGAATTCTTCATTTTAAGATTTATTTATTTATTTGAAAGATAAAGGTACACAGAGAGAAGGAGAGACATAAAATGAGACGTCCAATTTACTGGGAGCCAGCATCCAGGAGCGTCATCCTGGTTTCCAACATGGGTGCAGGGGCCCATGCACTTGAGCCATTTTCCACTGCTTTCCCAGGCGTTTTATCAGAGAACTAGATTGAAGGTGCAGCAATGTGGACATAGGGCAGCATCCATATGAGATGCCGGCATCTCTAGCAGCAGCTTAACCAGCTATGCCACAGTGCTAGTCCCTGAATTTGAATTATTTTGTGGTTGCTTCTAAGGAGCTCCACAATCTTCACTTCATTGCTCCCTTGTCTGATATTATATTTTCTCATCTCCACAAAAGATAAACCATATCTAGTGGAAAAGGTAGTAATCTTGAGGAAGCACCCAACACTGTTTGTTGCTGGTACATAATCGATATTGAATAATAAAGAATATTATTTCAATGATACATATCGATTTTATTAATTAAATCATGTAAGATCTTTGTTTTAAAATTCAGTTACTAAACATACCTTAAGAAAAAATAATTTAGGCTGGCGCCATGGCTCACCAGGCTAATCCTCTGCCTGTGGTGCCAGCACCCTGGGTTCTAGCCCCGACTGGGGTGCCAGGTACTAGTCCCAGTTGCTCCTCTTCCAGTCCAGCTCTCTGTTGTGGCCCAGGAGGGCAGCGGAGGATGGCCCAAGTGTTTGGGTCCCTGCACCCACATGGGAGACCGGGAGGAAGTACCCAGCTCCTGGCTTTGGATCAGCACAGTGCCGGCCATGGTAACCATTAGGGGAATGAATCAACGGAATGAAGACCTTTCTCTCTGTCTCTCACTCTCTATAACTCTCTCTCGGTCTCTCTCTCTCACTGTCTAACTTTGGCAAAAAAAATAAGAAAGAAAAAATAATTCAAAATGTTCACCATTCATTCCTAAATAGCCAAGTTAATGGACTCACCTAATCTTCAGGGAAGAGCTCTTTCAATAATAATAAAGATAATAGCCATAATAATAATGCACTTTAGCAGCATCTTCTCATCCAACTTGTATTTTTGATATTTTTTCTATGTTTCTTATACTTTCCCCTGAACTTCATCCCTTCCAGTTCCTTGAAAGCTACCAGATGAAACAGCGATTATTGGTTTCTTTTGATCAATGAGTATACTGAGCTTCAGAGAATTGTATTTATGCACTCAGAGTCGTCTAGCCATTATGTGACAAAATATCTGTGCTGAAACCCAGTTTTCTGATCATAAACTAATGGTATCTTGGGGATCTCAGAATGCCTCTCCAAAACAAGGTAATTCCTATATTTTCTCCTTCTGTTATAATATAATGGCCCTTCTAATATTTCTGCTTTGGCTTTTACCTGACATAACAGTTATCTTGGTGGAAATCTTATTTCAGCTACTGGATTGAGTATTTCTTCATTATTTCTTACATTTATATTGTATTAAAACACAATTTGGGTTTGTCTTCATTTAACAATATACATTTTCCATGAAAGATAAGAAGTGCACAAATCCAAATTATATTTTTAAAAATCATGAAATAATACATAAGAAAGACTAATTGGAACTTTCAAAGGAACTAACTTTTGTGTCAAGGTACTATGGACTTTACAGGATAGTGATTATAACATCCTGACACAATAGTATTTCTAATATTAAAGAGTTACTTTTATTTAAGGTAGAATTTAACTAATTTTATGGGGCTTCTGGTGAAGAATATTTTTTATTACCCACATAGCACCAAAGAAATGTTGGTAATAATAGAGAAACATTGCTGAAAATACAGTCCTGGTTCTATGTGTTCTGCATTTTAGGCCTGGTTGGCTATAGATTCCATAAATTAAATGGATATATAGTGGTGCAGGTAAGAATAGTCCTCAAAAGTTTGTGAAGAGATCCCTTTGGAACAAACTTGGCCAACTTCACGATTTCCTCAGAATGGATGGCTCTTGGCCTTATATATGGCTGCACATCTGACCAGCCATTTCTAAGGATTATGCGAAAGTATTCAGACATTCTGCCAGCTTCCATCTTGAGATCTTTCCCCTTGGATATTAGTAAATAGGTAACTACACTAATATCCAGGATTCTTATTTCTTCTGAAGAAACTGAGTTTTCATAATTTTGTGAAGTTCATGTTCCTGCCAAATAGCTACTTGAAACTTCTTGCAGCAACTGAGAAAAGAATAATGAACATGACAACCTGTGTGTCCCACAAATACATCTACTAGTTAGGCAACAACAATTGAAGGAACTACAAATTCCTGTCATGACATAATTGTGTCATAATAGCACGTGAGCTACACAGAATGCTTGAAATTAGCAGCTACAGGCCGGCGCCGCGGCTCACTAGGCTAATCCTCCGCCTAGCGGTGCCGGCACACCGGGTTCTAGTCCCGGTCGGGGCGCCGGATTCTGTCCCGGTTGCCCCTCTTCCAGGCCAGCCCTCTGCTGTGGCCAGGGAGTGCAGTGGAGGATGGCCCAGGTGCTTGGGCCCTGCACCCCATGGGAGACCAGGAAAAGCACCTGGCTCCTGGCTCCTGCCATCGGATCAGCGCGGTGCGCCGGCCGCAGCGCGCCAGCCGCGGCGGCCATTGGAGGGTGAACCAACGGCAAAGGAAGACCTTTCTCTCTGTCTCTCTCTCTCACTGTCCACTCTGTCTGTCAATAAGAGAAAAAAGAAGAATTAGCAGCTACAAATGTGACATTGATGATAGTGTAGTTCAAAATAAAACAGAATTGTAGGGCTTCTTCTCACTTGCATCATCTAGTTTGCAGTGTCAGAGGGTGATATATTAGTTACCTACTGCTTTTGATACAAATAAGGGGTTTACACAGCAAAACTTGCTACAGTATTGTTTGAGAGATCAGAATCCAATATCAGTTTCATTTGGATTAAATCAAGGTGTTGGCAAGCCTGACTCTTTCAGGGAGCTCCGAGCCCCACCCAAGTAAGTAAAATTTGGGAAGGGTTTGAGGCTGGAGTTTAAAATTCAGGAGCTGTTAGCTTAGCTTAAAATCAGTGCAGGTTTTTTTTTTTTTAATTTTCCTTTAAGAGTCTATTTACTAGGTTTTTTTTTAAGTTTTCTATTTTCTCAGGTATTAATTTGTTGATCTAAAAATTGTAGAAGTTCAATAATAGTACCACAATCAACTTTGACTTCATAAAATTCTATTTAATTGTACATATTTGCTATTTCAAGTAACACTCTGTTTACATTTTATTTATCTACTTTTGTCAGAAATCTACAACATTAGAAAGTGGGAAAAGTGGGAAAGAGGTCTATTGATAAAAACAATGATTCAGCACGTAAGAATATGTTTTAGTGTTAAGCAGATAATGGCTGAATACACTCTGAATAGGTGGATTTTGAACAAAGACTTAAAAATATCTGAGAGGAGGCCACATTCTGGCCTGGCTGGCGAGGTCACTGGCTATGGATGATGCTGGTTCAAGTCCCAGCTGCTCCATTTCTGGTCCAGCTCTCTGCAATGGCCCTGGAGGGCAGTAGGGGATAACCCAGGTCTTTGGGCCTCTATACAAATGTTGAAGTTCTGGGGGAGACCCCTGGCCCCTGGCTTTGGATTGGCCCAGCCCTTGCCGTTGAGGCCTTTTGGGGAGTGAACCAGCAGATAGAAGACTCTCTCTATCTCCCTCTCTCTCTGCCTCTGCATTTCTGTAGCTTTGTCTTTCAAATAAATAAATACAAATCTTCAAAAAATATCTGAGAGGACAAGCTTGAGGTTGAAGACTAGGCAGCTAGAGTTGGAGATATTACTGGTCAAAACTACTGGAAGAAACCACATACATACCGCATATTTTCTATGAATCTAAAAGGCAATTCTGTGTAAATTTTTATTTAAAAACGTTTCTTTTTGAATAAATAATGAAAAATAATGAGCTGTTAAAAGCATCAAAATAACTATGACAACAATGTAAAGGATCATAATTTAATTATGAACATATTAAAATATCCAATTGCATTAATGCAAAAGTAAAGCACCTAACTAAATTAATAGTTTTCCATAGCAGACATTGTGTTGCAGTGGGTTAGGCCACCACATCCCACTTCAGGGTGTCAGGGATCTGGTCCAGCTCCCTGCTAGTGTGTCTGGGAGGCAGCAGGTGATGGCTTAAGTATTGAGCACCTGTAATGCAACCGAGCCCCAGGTGTTGCAGGCATTTGGGAAATACCAGTGGGTGGAAGATTTCATTGTCTCTCTAATGCTCTTACTTGCAAATAAAAAATGCATGAATAGATTTTTAAAAATTCATAGGTGTCATGGAAATATTGAAGAAAGAGCAAAACTTTCTTGCATCTCAAAATAATGTCTGAAGAAATAGTTAGAAGAAGAATTTCTAAATGTGACTTGGCATTTTAGAAAAAGAAAAAAAAAAAACCCTCACTCCACACACTAGAAGTAATGTTTTATTAATTAAACATGTTTTCCAAATAGCTTAAGGTAACAATATTTCTCAGCACATAGAATTTATGCATGTCATTTATTGGAAATCATTAAATTGTCACATTCCTTATTTTAATATAGTGCAACTAGAATTTAGTCTATCAACGACCTTGTCTACCAAATCAATATCAATCAATCAATCAATATTTGCCAAGTATTTACGGCAATGCAGGGAATTCTTATTGAATACCAATAATCTAAGCCTGTTTTAAAAATATTTATGTATTTATTTATGTATATATTTATTTGACATACAGAGAGATAGACAAACAGAATGAAAAAGTCAGACACAAATGTCTCACTTGCTTGTTCATAGCCAAACTTCTACAACAGCTGGGGATGGGTTAGGCTTTGTTTTTCTCTTAAGATTTATTTATTAATTTTGAAAGTCAGGATTATAGAAAGAGGGAGAAACAAAGAGATCTTCCATACACTGGTCATTCTGCAATGGCCAGAACTGGGCCAACTCAAAACCAGGAGCCAGGAGCTTCATCTAGATTTCCCATGGGGTGAGGGGCCCAAACACTTGGGCCATCTTCCACAGCTTTTCCCAGACTGTTAGCAGGAAGCTGGATAGGAAGTGGAGCCCTTTGGACTCTAACCAGTGCCCAAATGGGAAACTGATGTTGCAGGCTGCAGCTTCCCCCACCTTAATTCTGTCCCTGAGTCTGTCTTTGTAGCTGATGGACTATAACAGTGTGGGCTCGTTTTCTCTCCTGTTGCACTAGTGTAAATGGACTGTGGGCTCTGGATGTGACTAACATTGTGATTTTAGTGATCACAGAATTGGGTATGTTTGCCTATCCTACCCTGGGAGAAGTTTATAAGGATGATCTACTCTATTTTGAATGTTTCCCCAGTGAATTCTGACTGCCACAACAACTGCAGATTGGGGACAAATCTGAATTTTGGGCGTCCTCTGAAACTGAGGCAGTGATGATACGATGACAGCAGATTTGAAGCAAGCTTCGACTTAGGGTGCCATCTAGTGCTGACACAGTGGAAGTATCCACTGGCTTAAAGCATAAAATAGGTTAGATTTTCTGGAAAAGCAGGCAAAAATTAGGCCAGATTACAAAGATGAAAGCAATATGAAGTCTTTCCATGTGCAGATGATTATACGTGCCAACAAGCATCAAGAACTCTTGTGAAGCATGGCAGCAAAAATAAAATAAAGTAACAGAAAGCAACCACCTAGAGTCTAACATTTTCAAATGCTTGGATGAAGAATTTGAAATAGTTTTTAAAGAAAACTTAATGAACTTCAAAAGGAGATAAAGAAATTATTTAATATTCTAACAGCAAGACTTGACAAGAGTCTACAATAATTTTAAAAAACCAAACACATCTTTGAACTGAAAAATACACCAAGCAAAATTGAAAACATGATCAAAGGTGTCAATAATAGACCAGATTAAGGAGAACAAATAATCAGGGATCTTAAAGATAAGATATACGAAAATACATATTTGAAGGGTAATAAAGAAAAATAACATGGAGAGTAATGAACACATCATACAGGTATTTTGACCCAACATGTACAGAGAAAGCATTTGAGTTATTTGGGTTTTAAGAGAGACTTGAGGCTGTCAAAAGTTTAGAAAGCATATTCAAAGAAGTAATTCAAAGTAGTAACAGAAAATTGTTCAAATATAGAGAAAAAATACAAATGCCCCCTGTGAGATATAACACAACCTAGTGTAACCCAAAGCTTACAATACTGATTGGTGTATACTGATCCACCCTTGCCTTCTGGCATGAGTCCAGTGAATCAGGATGAACAATCGTTCCAATGTACTGTTGAGTTTGTTTTGTAATATTTTTGTCAATGGTTTCTTAAAGTTAAGAGAAAAAAAAAAACAAGTAATTTTATTGTGCTGAAAGCAAAAAATAAAAATAAAAAAAAATACCTCCCTTCCAGAAATGCTGTATCCTGCAAAGCTAACTTTTATTTTTGTGTGTTTTTAATTTTTTATTTAAATTAAGTGAACAAATTTCATGTATTCCATATACACAGATTTAAGAAAATAATGATGCTTCCCACTTTACCCTCACCCCCTTCTGGGCTTCCATCCTCCCATCCTCCCTCCTTCCTTTCTTATTTTTTGTTTTAATTTTTATGATGACACACTTTCAGTTTATTTTAACAATCACAAGCGTAACCCTCCACTAAATAAAGAATTCAATAAGTAGTAAACAGAAAAGCCACTGGTTCTCAAGAGTATAGAAAGAGCTATAAACAACAATCAGCCGGTGCTGCGGATCACTAGGATAATCCTCCGCCTTGCGGCGCCGGCACACCGGGTTCTAGTCCCGGTCGGGGCGCCAGATTCTGTCCCGGTTGCCCCTCTTCCAGGCCAGCTCTCTGCTGTGGCCAGGGAGTGCAGTGGAGGATGGCCCAGGTGCTTGGGCCCTGCACCCCATGGGAGACCAGGAAAAGCACCTGGCTCCTGCCATCGGATCAGCGCGGTGCGCCGGCCGCAGTGTGCCGGCCGCGGCGGCCATTGGAGGGTGAACCAACGGCAAAGGAAGACCTTTCTCTCTGTCTCTCTCTCTCACTGTCCACTCTGCCTGTCAAAAAAAAAAAAAAAAACAACAACAACAATCAAATCTCAAAATGTCAATTTTGCTCATATACATTGACTTTTTTGCACATTAGCTTCCACAATTCATTACCACAAATCAAGGAAAACGTGAAAGAGAAATAAAGACATCTTCAGACATACAAAAGCTGCTAGAATATATTACCAGTAGAAAATACTACAAGAAATGCTAAGGGTAATTCGTCAAGCTTAAATTAGAAAGAGAAACTGACAGATAAGAAGAAAATATATCTTAACATAGAAAATACATTGATAAGAGTAGCTATATAGACAAAATCAAAATGGCGACAAAAAGAGAATATGGCATGTAAACCATTCACTTATGTAATATGAAATCTAAAGTCAAAGCAATTCTAAATAGTGAATAACTACATAAATATATTAGGAGGCAGATGAAATAAAAATATATAAATGTGAATAATTAAAAATGTAGAGAGGTATAAGTGAGGAGCTCTTTATTTGTATTTCTTAAAACTATTTCATATCTTTTCGTATCTTCATGATTAAAATTTGCAATTATTTTAAAATAACTTGTAATATTTTTTACCTAAAGCTAACTAACCATAAAGCAAAAATGTGCAAT